CATAAGGGCTGTTAACGCTACAATTTTCTGAGGGTTTGGACGAATTTCTCCATCACTGACACTAAAGCCAAAATATTGCACCGATGTTTTCAGGAAGGAACACTTTGTAATATTAAACGAAAATCCAGCCTCTGTCAGAACATTTAAAACAATCTCAAATCTTTAAAAGTTTCCTCTAATGTTGTGGCAGTTATCATAATATCATCCATATAGTATCCACTGGCCATATCTAGACACGTAAAATAATTAACTCCTCGAAGTCTATTTATGTGATCCTGTATAAGTGGCAGCGGATATTTATCAATCACTGTGTTTGAATTTAGCTCTCTATAGTCAACGCAGAGACTGTCCGAACCATTTTTCTTTTTAACTAACAGTATAGGGCTTGCATAAGGTGAACAGCTTGGCCTTATTATATTACACCTCAACAGTTCCTCAATTTTCCCTCGAACTAAATCTCGCTCGCATGGACTTAATCGGTATGGCCTTCTCTGAACAGTTTTACTTGGATCGATCAATCTAATTTGCATTTCATCTACTTTATCTTTAGTGTATGGAATTCCATTGATAAAACAATTTGAGTACTTTGCCAACAATGAATTTAGTTTTATTTTATTTACTCCGTTAAGTTCTGTATCAATATCAGCTGGCTCACTACCAGTACACGAATTAATTATTTTGGCTCTTGAAATCATAAATTTGTCTAATGAAATGACAATATCAAAACCCTGTATTTCACGTCCAATGACGATATCGTTTTGCATGCGATCATCGCCTATTATATAAAACAAAATTTCAATATAATTATTATCAATTTTTACGTTACTTAGAACTTTTACAGTACTACATATTCCACTACTCCCAATGCCTCTTAACATAACAATATTATTCAATCTTTTACCAGAAAACTTTGTACTTAGCTTTTCTTTCATCAGTGAGCATTCCGATCCGGAATCAAAAGTGACTTCAAAAATGTGGCCTCTATGGTTCATGCTCCCTTTAGGTACTGCAACCCTGCACTGTTCCTCTCGCTATCAGTCGGTCGCTTTGTTAAAATATTTAGAAACATAGCGGCTGGTGTTTCTATTGTATCAAAACGTTGTATGAAGAATTCCTTGAACTCGAGCCAGGTTATATCAGCATAGCACACTTGGGATAGCCATTGCGAAGCGCTACCCTCCAATGCTGAGCTTAAAGCCGCGACCAACGCACTGCCTTTCCACAGTTGAACACCACGATGAGGCGATGGCGCCTGCTTTGTCTGGATTAAATTTTGGTAGTTGCACCGATTTTCTTTGTTCTGCATCAGGATCTGTTTTTTTTAATTGCTCGCACAAGTTCGATTAAATTTTGATTTTGTAGTTCCATGATGGCACGCCGTGGTCCATCTAATGTATTAGGTTGAGGACCCGATCCCACTTCTGATGTCGATTCGTGGTCGTGTTCCATTTTCGAGCGGAGTGAGTTTCGACTTTCCTGGCTGACGATCGCTGAAGACTGTCCGATCGTTCTGCCTAAGAACTGCCTTCGGACCACACACGGCGACCGCGACGCTGCCGCCTCGCTATAACGATTCCTGAGAAAAAGGGAACTGACAGGGCAGCTGTGTCGCGCCACAACGAACGAAGAGGACCAATCAAAGAAGAGAACCAAGAATGCCAAAGTTCCGCGTAAGACAAACTTTCTAGGAGCTAGCATTCTGCATACGCTGGTATACGAATGGTATATCCATTCGCCGACATATATGTGAATGAAATGAGGGCAGGTAATTCTTCATCTTTTTTTAATTTTTTACCTTAAATGTATGTAAATATAATATATATTGTATTGATTCCTAGTCTTGGAAGTTCTATCTGCAAGGGTTTATAAACTTCGGCATGCCGAAGTTAGCTTCCTTTCTTGTTTTTTAATAATTCCTGATATTAGGCGATCAAACATTGGAAGGCGTACATCTGCTTCACATCCGTAAATAAATATTCGTAATAATAAAACACAAGATAAACGTTCCAAACAATATGCATTACGACGGACACAATATGCACATGTTCGTATTGCAGAAACGCTTCCTCAGAATATATAAAATTTTAATAGAAGAAAACAACCTGTAAATTAAGACTTGAATCCCACTGATTCTGGCACCTATTCGGTCAAGATCACAAATTGCGTTGGCTGTTGCATTTTTGTGAACTGACGTTATTGAAAGAGGAACTCATCAACAAAGTTTTCCCCGACATTGCCCAAAATTATAAAAATATCAATTGGGTTAGTGAACAAACAATACTAACAGAGATGAATAATTTTTCAATTCCATTATTCAAGAAAAACCGCTGGAGAACTGCATTCTTAAAAATCGATGAAGCGACTATCCGGCGAAAGTTTTGAACTTCCTTGATGTGCCAGAAACTTCGCCGCATAACTTACAGCTGAAGGTTGACTCAATCATAATCATACTGCGGAATCTGAATTATCCGAAATTGTGCAATGGTACGCGGTTGCCCGTCGGAAAACTATTCAACAATGGAATTCAAGCAACTGACATCAAGGGCAAATTTAAAGGAGAGGAACTCCTAATCCCCCAATAATTCCAAATGATCTTCCATTTTAATTTAAGCCAGTTCGGTTGGCTTTTCGATCACAATCAATGAATGACAAGGTCAATCATTGGAAGTCTGTGGGATTAACCCTGAATATCCCTGCATGGTCAATTGTATGTTACGTAGCATGTTCCCGTGTTAAAAAGCCGTCGTCGTTGTATAGTTTTGGGCCGTAAAATAAGATATTGTTTATTATATCGCCCTTAACTGATGAGATGAATTATCTGCGTTTTATTATCAATTTGGGATTACATCTATAAAACATTAACTAGGGGAGTGGCAAAGTTCGACAGGACATCTTGTAAATGTATAAAAGAAAACTTAGTTTTAGGTAAAAACAAATTGCATCAACACATTACCTAAAAAATGGGCAAACAATCGATATACATACATGTACATATGTACATGTATTTCTCGTTGAGGTAGTCTATTACGTTTACAAATTTAGGTTATCAGTTTGTTTGGAATTGGTTCCCAACTTTTCTGTGTGTAGTTTCGGATCATTTTTGGCTCCATTCCCCAAAATCTAACCCATTCGGCGGCTATATGTATGTATGTACATAGCTTTCTTACTAAGTAAACTTTTTGTGTCTTACATGCACACCTACATACATAAGTATGTATGCATGTACATATGTACATACATATATGCAGAAAATGTTTTTTATTTGTATTACTGTAAGTATTAACCACCAGGCTTTGGCGAGCAACTATCACCGAATCTGCGAATCGTTTATGCACAACAAATTTAATAAACGGTTTAATGAGTAATTCATCAAAAACAAGACACAATATTTTTCACCTATTCAAAATGTTATTGGAATTACATATACATACATACATAAATACATACATACATGCATACAATGGTTTTAAATCTAACAGACACCTTAATAGAATTAAGTCAAATATTTGCTATAACATTAGCTATTTAAATTAAATATCCATTCTAGCTGAGTGACTTAGGCTTAGTCACTCTGAAGCTTTTGTATGCATTGTGTATTAAAATACTGAGATCGCTAATCTTATTATAAAAAGCGACTCAAGCTTTCATCGTTAGTAGTAATAAAGCTTCGTTCGAGATCACAGCTACATATGTACATACATATATACATATGTATTCATATGAAAATTTGCTAAAAGTAAAATTAATTATAAAGCAATACTTTAAACTGCTTTTACAAATATTATAGAGGAAGGTAAACCAAATATTTCCACAATATTAACATTAACCCGTAAACGATGCTCTATTTGTGTTCAGTTTAATCGTGTTCGTGCTATGTCTTCGTATAGATAGTACAAATTAAATTAAATTAAAAAAAAAATAAAATAAAACTGGTCAGTAACATGCATATGTATTGATTTTCATATATGTAATTTGTATATTGTATGTATGCATTCAAATGTGTTACAGCGTAAAACCGAAATCGGAAACCATAAAATACAGCCATGGTTGAGGAAAAACGAAAATACTTTCATAGATACCCACATACATATGTACATATGTATGTACATACATGAAAGTATTTTGAATATTTTTAAATTTGGATAAACATAAACATACACATATTAAACTCTTGTGAATGGTATTACGATTTTAGTCAGAAGTTGAAGGAGACATAAACGGTACATACCCTGCAGCACCTGTCATCAACAATTCATGTATGTATGTACATGTACTTATGATAACATGTATGTATGTATGTGCATATGTATGTACATGTTACTGTGGCCGTTCACAACGTGACGATAAGCACCGAGAGTGTACGCAAGGCAACTACTACATAAAAACATACATACTATGTACATACATATGTATGTATATATGTACATGCATTTATACATAAAAGTCGACTTAATTTAGATTTGTCTTATAAAAAGCGATATGCCAATCAAAATTGATCGCTTTAGGTTTTTAAAAGTTCGAGCTAAACCATTTTTAATACGCTTTTATTAGTTCGGGATGTACATATGTATGTATAAACAAGATCACTAAATTCAGAGTTAAAGCGTGGGGTGTAGGATTTTTCTTTATTTTCATAATTCTCCCCTTACAGATAGTTGCCCTTAGACATTGATTATAGATGCACACCACGCTTTTAACTCTAAATTTAGTGATCTTGTTTATAATTATATACTATTGCTCTGAATTTAAACATTTTGTTTGTAATTTTTAATTATTTTCTTTTTTAGTTCGGTTATTTATAAAAGCATGTTTTTTTTAGTTATTTTAAACTATTATTTATTTTCTACTTTTTAGTGTGGGTACCTATAAACGCGTTTTTTTAATTTTCTAAGCTATCAATTATTTTTCGTATTTTAGTTATATTTATCAATCATATTTTACGGACATGTAATTATGAAATATCTTACGAACTATTTCGTAATCTCATTATTTCATTTAAGGCCTCTTTGTTGCATGGGGTTTTTCCTGTTAACTTTGAGCAATCAAGTTCTTCAATGCGAATACCGTCTAAGGTTCTTACACGACTAAGTACTACATACATGTAAGTTTGTCCAGCAGACATGCGCAGATCGCGCGCTAGCTCTGTCTCTCTTACTCCCTCTATAAAAAAGAATTTATCAATCCAGACGATCCTAATTAGGATAATGAAATTTTTGTATCAAATTATTACATTGTCATCGGTCCTTGAGAAGTATGCAAAGTTTCAAGCTTATCAGATATTTGGAAACCCTTGAAAATAGTGTTTAAAGTTTCCGTTACGGACATACGTACATCCCGAACTAATAATAGCGTATTAAAAATTATAAATGCCTGTTTTCAAACTCATTTTTAACTATGTCTCAAAGCCATTGTGTATTATTTCAGAATTTCGTTCTTTCTTATTTCTTATATTCTTTATTTTTTCAAAAACGTAACAATAAATCTTAATCTCTTCATTAATCTACCTGCACCGGTGTGACGACGACTTAAAAAACACTCTTCCTTTCGCATATCGTGGAAATAGCAATGATATACATCCGGTTCACCGAGGTTGAACTTCTTTTAGTCGAAGAAGACCACCGTCTTCCACTCCTTGTTCCACGACATGTGTTCTTCAAATAATTCGTTTACAGTGTTGAAGATCCGTAACGTCATACGACTATTTTGCAGAAGATTTTTTCGTGCTAGCTTTTAAAACGTCTTCAGGCTCTCTCACATTTTGTTCAAAAGCCAGTTCTAGAGTCAGCCAATCTTTCTTTTTAGTCAGAAGTTTGCAACGCAATTATGGAGATTTTCCGACCATATAAAGTATATATATTCTTAATCAGGATCAACCACCTAGCCGATCTATCCATGTCCGTCTGTCCGTTTCTACGCAGACTAGTCTCTCAGTTTTGAAGCTATCTGAATGAAACTTTGCAGTTAGTCTTTTATATACCCTCGTATATATGTCGGAAAGGGCCGGACCGAACGACTATATCTTAGGAACGATTGGACAAAAGTTATAACTTTTTTTTTTGGTTTTCAACAGATTTTCATCAATTTTGAGATATAGCCCTTTTTTATTATTCTAGAATATTTTGATTTTAATTCTATAAAAATCGGACGAATTTATCATATAGCTGTCATAGGATCGATTGTACAAAAACTATTTTTTTTCAGTTTTCAACAGATTTTTATCACATAGCCCTTTATTATTATTCTAAAATTTTGATTTTAATTTTATGACAATCGGACATTCACAGTTTTGCATTTTCCTATGGTTGGTATATTACAGTGATGAAGGCCAACACTAGAGACTCCAATTAGAGCTAAGCTCTTTTTGTTCCACTCCCTCTATTTGCTATTTGTGGTCCCGATCACTATGAGTATCATCCTCGGCCAGTAGGGAAGCATAGGATTGCCGATACCTTCAGCTTTTCTATGCTTCCCAGTGACTCCATCTGGTAGGAAAAAAGTGACGAAGTCTGGTGTGATTTGGCGCTGGACAGAAGCAGAGGAGGTGCTCCGGTGTCTTTCTACAGATTGTATTATGTGGCAGTCCCATCTTCATTGCATGCAATCCGATCGCCCAATATCCTGTGGTGACTGCCGTGAACCTGCTGATATCCCGTTTGCTATTGTATAGCAGTTCACTGGTTCGTTTTTTTGTCGTATCTTGGCCACCATTCCTTTGATCTTTTCTGGTCGCTCTATCTTAACCATTCCTTGTTGGCTATCTGTTGGAAGTGGTCATGGATCCTTGTCTGGATCGCGTTAAGGGAAATCGGTATTTTTCCCTGCTCCAATCTTCCCTTGTTGGATATGAGGTCGAGAATGCGTTCCCGTGGGGGCATGAGCGCATTGCTCCCACGGCTCCCGCACTCGCTGTTCGTTGTATCCTTGTAAGTTTCGATCTGTTGTATGCCCTAGTTAGTGCCGGCCAACATTTTCTTCTTACTCTTTTCCTTACTTACGTTGATGGACTACGGTCAGTACATTCAAGTGCCCTTATGAGTAGTTAGTAGGCGCGAAAGGAAAAATAAAAAAAGAGAACCAGGAAATTAACTAGTGGCGGGCTGCCAAATTGCTTGTCTGCCTGTCTACTAACTGGGTAAGAATTAAAGTTTTTAGTTTTGGAAAACTATCTACGTTAAAGATTAATGTGTACAAATCATTATAATTTGCACACAATACTCTAAAAGGTTCATGCAAATCTACAGTGGTGCAACACCAAGGGAATATAGGATCTAGTATTTCTGCTTGATACATAGAAGTTGAGCTGACTCAAGAAGTCAGCACTTTCCACGTCACTATGAATAAGGTTATAGATGAAGGTAATGCCAAGCATAGTTCTATATAGAGTCCGATCTGGTTCTACTCTAAAATTCCGTCTCGAATTCGTGGCTGATTCTGTTCAGAACCTGGTCGAAATTCCTTTCTGACTCGGGGGGTACTTCGTGTCGATATTAATGACAAATTCCTAGCAGGATTCCTTACTGATTCCTCGGGTAATCAGAATTCAGGTTTTCTAACGCCTACTGTATGGAAATTCCTGGATGATTCAGGATGGAAGCCAATCTCCTCTCCAATCCAACCTGATTCAAACCTGAATACAAAAGGAATGATACTGAAGGGAGCTATATGATATCGTAATCCGATTTTCATAAAATTTAATACAGAGTTTTAAAATAACATTAAATGGCTATAAATTCACAAACATCTTCTTAGAACAGGGAAAGTTATAATTTTTTTCTAAAAATTTCCCGATCGTTCTTATGGCAACCATATGATATAATCGTCCGAACCGACCCATTCCGACTTATATACGAGTAAGTGTATATAGAAGACTAACTGCAACGATTCATTCAGATAGCTTCAAACCAGAGACTAGTTTGCGTTAATATGAACAGAAGGACGGAAAGACGGACATGACTAGCTCAACTCGGCTGTGGATGCTGATCAAGAATTTTATATAGTTTATATGGTCTGAGATGACTCATTCACTGCGTTGCAAACTTCTGAATGAGATTAAATATCCTGTAAGGGTATAAGGGTGGAGAAGGTCGTGATCTTTCTGATAAGCCTTCTAGCTTGTAATGTTTTTTTTGTCTTAGTTCCGACAACATACCTTCGGTATTTGCTCACCCTTGATCGGCCTTCGTTTTGAAATAGTCCTCACCCAAGAAATATGACGTCGTTGTATCCAACAAGTTCATTTAAGGCTAAAATTTCTCTTCATTGCTCTCTTGAGTTGAGTGCAATCCAGTTCTCCTATGATTATTCTATTTGTGAATATCCACATTCTGATGCCTCTATCAATATCTATCAACTTAATGGGGTTCGGCGTGTACGTTGTTGAACGCTACATTTATGTTCGGGAAGGTGGTCATTGTGTATTGTAGTTGAGCGACCACTTCATGTAGTCCCGTTTCGTGTTCCGTCTTTTTATGTATTCATGCTGCGCATCTAATAGGTGCCTTGTCAGGAAATTTGAAAAGAAAACACCGAGTCCGAATGGTCAAGAAAGCAGACGCCAGCACCATTGAATGGTGATATGGAAGAATGGTGACATGTACCTTGGATGTCTTATTGAAAAAATAATGTTTACGTGTAATCTTAAAATAAATGTTGCAACAGTAAATTTCTGTTTTCGACCCTATAGTGTCTGGGCTCTACCAGTAAGATGAGATCTAATGAGATCCTTTGAAATACAAAAGTTGGTTATATATGGTGTATATATATAATAAATCTTGCATTTCTTTCTGAGCTTCCTCAAAACGTGTGCCTCGCTTTCGTGTCGTACCCGAGCACCAGCTTGATTACCGATTCTGGCAGAGCCCGACTATCGTTGGCTATGTATGCTAAGGTTATAGGTAGTCGGTGTCATGAATCTGTCAACTACTGGATACCAAGATAAGCGATAAAAAAAGCATTAAAGTGATTAACGCGTATTGTAGAATGTAGTCAGGTTGTGTGAGACCAGGGACTTGCTCGTCCCGATTTCATTGTTCTTGAAGTAGATCAATGTCAATATACTTCTTCCTTAGATGGAAGACATTAATCTTGGACTTTCTTATGCCGTAGCGCGTTTTATCGTTGTGTGCTTCTAATATTTATATATCTAAAAATTGTGTAAATTTTTGCTATTCTTACAAAAGCTAAAAACGGGTGGACCGATTAAGATTAATTTGGCATCGCCAAATATTCCTGTTAATGGATTGGATCGTTTCCGGCAAATTTTTGCGAATTGACGTCATTAACAAAGTTTTCCCCGACATTGCCCAAAATTATTTAAATTTCAATTGTGTTAGTGAACAAGCAATCCAAACTGCAAAGAATAAGGTTGTCAATTTAATTATACAAAGTTAAACGTCTGGAGAACTGCATTTATATCCGACTGAATTATTGATCTAGATTGACGTGCCAGGAACTCCGCCGCACAATGTACTGCTAAAGGTTGGCTCGATCATAATCATGCTGCGTAATCTGAATCATCCGAAATTGTGAAACTAAACAAAAAAATAACGAACAATGTAATTCAAGCAACGATTATCAAATTCAAAGGAGAGGAACTTCTAGACCCACGAAGTCCAATAAGTCCTAATGGTCTCCGATTTCAATGTAAGCGAATTCAGTTGCCATTTTGGTTGGCTTTTCCGATGACAATTAATAAATCGCAAGGCTGGCCAATCATTTGAATTTTTTATTATTAACCTTGAATATCCCTATTTCAGTTGTACGTAGTATGTTCCCGTGCTGAAAACCCGTCTTCAGTGTATATTTTTGCAAAAAAAAGAGTATAGCTTACCATATCGCTCTGAATTGATGAGTTTTAAATAAGTTACATAAAAATTGAATTATCTGCTATTTATTATCACTCCGGAATTATATAAAACATTAATTGAGGCGAGTCAAAATTCGCCGAGCCAGCTTGTTGGATATTAATTTTTTTTTATATACCCTTTAGGGATATTATAATTTCAGTCAGAATTTGCAACCATATAAAGTATATATATTCTTGATCATTTCCATCTGTCCGTTCGTCTGTCAGTTTATACGTAAACTAGTCTCAGTTTTGAAGCTATCTCAATGAGACCTTGCAGCTTATCTTGTAAATAGTCTCACGCGTATATATGTGGGAACGGGACGGATCGGACGACTGAATCATACAGTTGCCATAGAAACGATCGGAAAATTATCTTCAATGTTTTTTAACAAAAATATATATAATTTATATTGCATTAATTCCTAGTGATCGAATTTCAATCGGCAAGGGTATACAAACTTCGTTTAAGTTAAGATAACATATATATAACCACTAAGCAAGAAACACATAGAGGTGTCAAACAGTACCAAAAAGTACTATCACAAAAACGGCTGAGCCTGGAACCCCAGAGCACCCGAACGATATGTCTAGAACCCCAGAGTGCCTTCGGCTTTTTCGAGTTCGAAGCAGTCGTTCGAAACCGAGCACAACAAGAATTCACTTTTCAGTGGCAGATCGACCGTGGAAGGATGAGCAGGGGTGCGTTTCTTTGCGCTGTGCTCTTGTTTCTGTGTATATGTGTATATGTGTACAAGCGCTCACACGTTTGTATGCTTGTTCAAATTTCAGCATGCAGAGTCTTTTTCAAAGATTTTGGACGACCACAGCCAGTGGGCCGAAGCGGCGTCACAGCAATACTTAGCCTATAGCGCTTGCATTGGGGGACAAATTATTTAAGTTATTTCACTATAATTACTACTTATTTTAATTTAAGTTTCTTTTCTGACTATATTTCCCAAAAGGCATTTTGTTGATGAATCATCGATGAATTGTTCATGAATTTGTTAATGAATTGTTGATGAATCATCGATGAATTGTTGATAAATGATCGATGAATTGTTGATGAATCATCGATGAATTGGTAATGAATTTTCATTGATGACAGCCTATAACATGCCCATGTTAAATTCATCAACAGTTTGTATAGCCTGTCATCGATGAATCATCAACAGCACCCGCTTGACTGTTGATGAATTACTGATGACAGGTACTGCAGGGTATGTTGTTGTTGTCTATGCAAGTGATTTGCGCGTGTCACTTTTTGTTTTGTTTTGATTTTCTAAGATTCTTTGATTTGTTTTAATTATGCTTACATACATATGTCAATATCTATGTATGTATGTACATATGTATGCATATTTGGGCGCGCTTTTATTTTAGCGCACTTTTTTGTTGTTGCTTAGCAAATGAAAAAAATTAAATTAAATAAATAAATACTTAAATAAAAATGCATTAACAATTCATCGATGATTCATCAACAATTCATCGATGATTCATCAAAAGGCATTTTGTTCCTTTTTGGAAAAACAGAAAAAAAAACTTAAATTAAAATAGGTAGTAATTATAGTTAAATAACTTAAATAATTTGTCCCCCAATGCAAGCGCTAGCCGCTAAGTATTGCTGTGACGCCATAAGCAAGTGAGCCGCCGCCGCGGCGCACTGGCTGTGGTCGTCCAAAATCTTTGAAAAAGACTCTGCATGCTGAAATTTGAACAAGCATACAAACGTGTGAGCGCTTGTACACATATACACATATACACAGAAACAAGAGCACAGCGCAAAGAAACGCACCCCTGCTCATCCTTCCACGGTCGATCTGCCACTGAAAAGTGAATTCTTGTTGTGCTCGGTTTCGAACGACTGCTTCGAACTCGAAAAAGCCGAAGGCACTCTGGGGTTCTAGACATATCGTTCGGGTGCTCTGGGGTTCCAGGCTCAGCCGTTTTTGTGATAGTACTTTTTGGTACTGTTTGACACCTCTATGTATTTCTTGCTTAGTGATATAACTATAAATAAATAAATATATTAATTTAATTGGACGTTGATGCACTACGGCCTGTACATTCAAGTGGCCCGTATCACCAGGCACGTGCCTGTTTGGCTTAGGTATTAGTAGGTGCGATGGAAAATATAGGACAGAATACGAGGAAATTGACTACCGGCGTGCTACCAGGTTTTTAGCTTGCATGTTTACTAAGTGTGTTAGTATTAAAGATTTTAATTTGGGATGGGTATCTACGTTAGAGATTAGTGTGTAAAAATCATTATAATTTGCATATAACACTCTAAAAGGTTCATGCAGTTCAAAGGAGGTTCTACAGTGGCGAAACATTAATAGGATATAGGATCTAGTAGTTCTATATGGTACGTGGAAATTAAGCTGACTCAACAAGTCAGCACTTTCTACATCACCATGGATAAGGTTAAAAATAAAGGTTATTCCTAGCATCGTTCTACGATTGGCTAAGGACAGCAAGTTTATTAACAGGAGTCTACTAGAGTAGAAAGGTAATCTTTGGTTTGCATCCCAATTTAAACCGCGTAGAGCGAAAAGTAAAAAGTTCTTTTTAACCGACTCAATGCGTTTACTATGGACGCCGTACTGAGGGCTCCAAACGCAGCATCCATATTCTAAGATAGGACGAACTAAAGAAGTATATAAGGATTTAGTAACATAGGGGTCATTCCTTCGACCACCGTTTAATAAATCCAAGCACACCCTGGCTCTATTCCCCATAGACGAAATATGATCAATAAAGTCAAGTTTTGGATCCAAGCGGACGCCCACATCATCAACAGAATTAATTCTTTCCAAAGAGCAGCCGTTCAGCGTGTAAGTAGCAAGCTTAGGAACGACACGAGAGAATGTCATTAGCTTGCATTTCGAGCCATTTGAGTTTAATAAGTTTACATGGCACTAAGTTTGAAAATTATTGAGTGCTGTTTGTGAATCCGCCTGGCAGACATTGTCATTGTATTGCACGCAAAGCTTGACATCATCCGCGTACATAAGCACTCTGGAGTTAGTCAAGACTTTGGGCAAGTGACTTAGACACCTATCCTTGCTTCTGCCCATCTGTGAGCTGAACCACATAAATAAAAAACACTGTTTCTTGGATTCGTAGATATCCTCTTTTCAATTTTTATCAATATTTTTTCATGTATTTTCGAGTGGCGAATTTTACGTCTATATAAGAAAATATCGATATTTCTTTAGAAGACGATATCTCGGAGACTAAAAAATTAGAAATACGAGGTATTGAAAAATTTCGAAGGTTTGATTCAAGTATAAAGAATTTTATAAAAATCGAAAAATCCTATTCCGGCTCTTGGTTCAAAGAAATTATCGGACTGTGTAATAGTTGTTGATGCTAAGGAGTTGTCGGGACGCTTGATGATTTCGCTGAAACAAGGCATCTCTGTTTAAGCTACATGCTTTTTGTGTTCTTCATTAAAATTAAAATTATTAGGATAGCGTATAGTCGTAAGCGAAATTCTGGTCTGGGTAATTTTTAATTACAGTAAACGACTTTAGGAGCGTTAGAAGCAGGCATTAAGACTTGTTGCTAAGCTTTCACCATTTTGAATGTGAAAAATATATTGTAGGAGGCATAAAACGTAGTCACAAACGCAGTGTTCTTTATTCATCGGCCCCTTCCATCCTTAGCCTGTTTATATTCATATTGGTCTGATCATGCGAACGGGACATACATAGTAATGTTCGTGAGTAAGTGACTAAGTGTGTGCTTATTACTGTACGTATGTATGTACAATTAGTGTATATGATAACGCCGTGCTAACAGAAAGATCGTTCAACCTCGGGAAACCAAAAGAAAGAAGAAAAATTATCCTGGAACAAGTTCGCATGATGTATATCATTATATTCTCAGACCTCCTCCAGTTTTCACTTTGACGAGAATCTAACGTATTTTGGTTGAAAACTGAAATCGGTTCTCCAATTTTTCACATTCACATGATCGTTGCGATTTACAAAACAGGCAACTTGGTTTGCCAGAATTATTTTTTTTTATTTATTTAATGAAATTGGTAGAGGAAAATACAATATTTTGGAATTTTGTAAATTATATTAATTTGTATGGAAGAGGTGAACCCTGAAGATAAATATAAATAAGAAAGCCGTAGGACATGAAGGACAAAATGGTACAGCTCGACAGATTGCGTTGCCGATCTCGGTGATATCGATTCACTCGTCACAGATTTTTTCACTTTCAGGCATTTGCCACATCGCCGTCGTGAACCATGTTGAATGGATTTCGGTTGCCAGCTTTATTAGGTGACTCGATTGGTTCGTTAAAGGAATCTTTATGGCCTCTGGGGCCACCATGTTCATTTTTGATTTGATTTTATCAAATCATACGAGATCCTTGTAAAGGTATTCCAGCTTGCTCTTATAATTAGACGTCTGTCGACGAGCTGTACAAGGGCATCGCCGCCGATAGAATGCATGCACAGCGCTTTGGGACAGATATTATTAAAAAACTAAGCATAAAATGTTTAACTTGTAAGTTTTAAAAAAGCTGCTTCTTCACAAAGTACAAAGTGACCGCATTAGTTGAACTCGATCTAGCACTACCTTTATCCACTGTCCGTATCACTAATCATATCATTCCCTAATTTTACTGAATGAAGTTGGTACGTCACCCTTATATCATAAAGCTGCTAAATGAATTATCGGACAATTAACAGACAAATTTTAATATTGCAGTTTTTTTTAAATATTTTAATTTACTGAGATTATGGACATTTTGTAATGTTTTTCTTTAAACAAATGTTTAATAAACAATTAAGTTACTTTACAATACTTCCAATTAATAAATTATTACAATTTGGCATTTTACAGATTTAACAATGAATGGCTTTAAGAAGAATGTTATTTTGGGTATATTTTACGCAATTGTAATAATTTGTGTAGAATGCACACCCCAGGAAAAAACCAACGCACAAAAAAACATAGAAGAAATATTTAACACCAATGTCAATAATCCGGTACAACAAAACAGCGGAATTGGATTAATTGTTACACCCGAGCCCATAAATGCTATAACCCCAAGAAACTTTAATTCTATTAGTGGCAAGACCGCAGCATGCAATTGTGTTCCTTATTATAAATGCGACCCGTCAACCAATAGTGTCACAGAAGATGGATCATTTGATGGATTTGGAGTAATCGATATTCGATTTAACACCGATGATCCCATATGTCCGTCATCTGTTGATGTATGTTGTGCAGATAATAGGACTCGTACAGAGGTCTTGAACCCCACGCCGTTAGATCAAAGACCGAACCAGCCACGAGGCTGTGGTATTCGGAACACAGGAGGGTTAGATTTTACTCTTTCCGGGGCATCTCAAAATGAAGCCGGTTTTGGCGAGTTTCCTTGGACAGTAGCTTTATTGCATTCGGGAAATTCAAGCTATTTCTGTGCTGGATCTCTTATACATCCCCAAGTAATTTTGACTGCTGTGCACTGTATTGAATATCATAGACCAGAAACTTTTAAGGTTCGTGCTGGAGAGTGGGACTCGCAAACAACAAAAGAGCGTCTACCGTATCAAGAAAAAACAGTGCAAAGCACAATAAAGCATCCTAAATACAAAAACAGAAACATAGCTAATGACTATGCACTTGTGATTCTCAGTCAGCCCTTTATTTTGGATGATCACATTAATGTTGTATGTTTACCACAACAAGGAGCTATTGCTGCTCCAGAAACCACTTGTTACTCGACAGGCTGGGGCAAGGATGTTTTTGGTTCTCTGGGAAAATATAGCGTCATAATGAAGCGTGTGCCATTGCCAGTTGTGGACTTCGACTCTTGTCAAGCAAGACTGAGAAGCACCCGACTTGGGCCCAAGTTTGCACTGGATAGGTCGTTCATGTGTGCGGGCGGTCAACGTGGTGTTGACACTTGCCAAGGCGATGGTGGAGCCCCACTTGCCTGTCCTATTGGACAAGCCACTGAAAATCGATATCAGCAGAATGGCATTGTTGCTTGGGGAATTGGTTGCAATGATGAGGTACCAGCAGCTTATGCCAGCGTAGCCTTAGCCCGAGATTGGATTGACCAGCAAATGTTAGCAAGCGGTTTTGGGACGGCTGTGTACACTGCTTGATTTTATAGAATCTGAAATTTAAACATATGTTTAAATAAATAAAAATAAATGACTTTAAAATATTGCGTTAATTATATATGATGGTAGGTCGGTAAGTTATCGTCCTCGACAAGGCGACAAACGGAAGCTCATCCTTAGTACCCCCTGGAAATTTTTGAGAACCATTGCAGGTGATCAGGTACAGGTAAAACAGGCGCGAGGGTTGCCAACATCAAGCGAGTGATGGCAGATCTACGATTACATTAAGCAACTAGTTATCTGAGACTATTAACCACTTGCTTCGAAAGTGAGAGAATATGGGAAAAGAAAAAGGCAAAGATAGCTGGCTGGTTTAAAAGTGACAATATAATCGAAATTTAGAATTAAAGACCACATGTGTTTTGCGGCGAAAATAAAGATTGTTCTTCCCGTTATATCCCTTACCCTTACACTGCAGTTCCAAAATTTCTTGCTTGACACTTTGGACAGACCCCACATCTACTGAAAAAGGTTAGACCGGCACCAACCCAGCCAAATATACCGTTGTAACGAACACCTTCTATGTGTATGTGTTGGTCGTAGCCCGTCAGTTCCATTCATCAGTAATTAATCAACGACTTATCAACAGTCAAGGCGGTGTTGTTGATGATTCATCGATTAATGGTCATACAAATTACTGATGAATTTAGGCTGTCATCATCAACAATTAATCAATGATTCATCAACAAATTCAACATTCATAAACAATTCATCGATGATTGATCAACAATTCATATATTATTCTTCAACAATTCATCAACAAATTCATCAACACTCATCGACGGCCGAGCCATGGTACTGTCAACGACTGCCGACGAGACTACCGTCGTAAGTGTATCGTGGGCAGAGCGTCGACTCGGTAGAAGTCGCAGTCGGCAGAGCGTCGGCTTGGTAGAAGTCGCAGTCGGCAGAGCGTCGACTGTTAATAGCAGTGGCCTATTGATAACATGTGGTACTGCAGGGAGTAGGCTATTGTTTTTGAACAATGGAAAATTCTCCGTGAAATGGTCTTGTGGGAAAAAGAGGATCATTAATAACGGCCAGCCGGTGTGCACTTGCTAAGCGAAGTTTCCCTTTTTTTTTGTTCGCGTAATTCAAAAACAGTGCACTCCACGACGCTCATTTGTGCCAATACACACTCTTACACATACATATGTATGTACATATTTGTTCCTTTATATATGCATGCCCATATATTTTCCAATATATCACATAGGCCGTTGGCATAACCCAGTGAGCTTTTCTCCGCGACCAAACACTGAGGTTTGAAATTCCTGCGTAAGCTAAAGTAATCCATCGCTAAAGAATTACATCTGCGGCTGATAATTTTAAAAATTAACAAATAGTTTAACACCCGCCAACTTAGCCCCCGCAGAGTCAGTGTCAGAGTCACATACGCACTGCTTTGCAGACTCTTAGCACACTGAGTTTTTTTCTCCCGAACAAAAGACAAGGGCTTATTTACACCATTTCGGGTCCGAAATAAATAAATTTGACAATAACCAATTACTTCCGACTAAATCCTTCCTAAATCAGGAATTCATAATTTTGTTTTTATTTATTACACGATACATCCACAATTCGTGACCAATATTTATTTTATATTATTTTTATAGCTTATGTGTTATAATATATTATTTTAATTCAATTTTCAATTGAATTCAATAATTGTAAATACATATGTATACAGTTAGAAATTTTAATGATTGTTTTGTTTTGTTATTATTATAATAATATTTAATATATTTAATAATTCAAATATATAATAAAAATACATATTTATATATATTTACATATACGTATGTACATATTATGTAAATTACCCATTTTTAGTATTTGATATGAAAATAAAATTAAGTTAAATGATTTTCTGAAAATAAACAAAACGAGCCAAAAAGTCCACCTCTATGGTGAAACGATTTAAACCAATATTTATTATTTATTTATTTTTATTATTTGTAATATTTTTATTGTGACATAGATATAGAGTTTAAATTAATAATTGGAATTAAACACTAAGTATACATATATATATTTTGTTGTATTACTTTTAAAATTAAGGAAAGGCAATTGAACAATAAACAATGTAAACAAGCTAAAATTAAAATTAACATACACATTGATATGCACATATGTATGTACCCTGCTGTACCGCATGTCATCAATAGGTCATTGTCATCGACCGTCATCAACGCGCCGATTGCGACTTCTACCGAGGCAACGCACTGCCGACTGCGACTTCTACCGAGTCGACGTTCTGCTGACTGCAACTTCTAATACGACGCTCTGCCCACGATACAGTTACGATGGTAGTCTAGACGGCAGTCGTCGGCAGTACCATGGCCCGGCCGTTGATGAATTTTGTTGATGAATCATCGATGAATTGTTGATGAAACATCGATGAATTGTTGATGAATTTTTATTGATGACAGCCTAGGACATGCCCATGTTAAATTCATCAACAATTTGTATGGCCATTCATCGATAAATCATTAACAACACCGCCTTGGCTGTTGATGAAACGTTGGTGAATTACTGATGACCGGTACTGCAGGGTATATACAAAAACAGTGCAATACATGTTTAAGATGAGCTGTTTCTGATGCCGTTTTCGCACCCTCTCTACCCAACAAGCGGTCAGCAGCACAAATATAAAATTTCTATATTTCGTCGTTGCGCTTGCGAACTCATACAAGCAAGCGCATTCTATTTTTAGATTTTTACGCGCTCAACTTTCAGAGAGCAGGGAGAGCGCCATCGTCTTTGGAATCAAAACAATAGCCGCATTGACATGCGAATGTATGGTCGTAACGCATCTTACCTTGTAGTACCATTCATCAGTAATTAATTAACGATTCCTCAACAGTCAAGGCGGTGTTGTTGATGATTAATCGATTAATGACCATACAATATACTGATGAAACTAACATGGGCATGTCCTGTCATGTTAATCAATGATTCATTAACAATTCATAAACAAATCCATCAATCCAATAAATCAAATAGATCGCTTTCGGGACGTCAGAAGTAACCCTTAGAACATTAGATAAATTATTCTTAAAGTCGACTTTTTTCTTGCCATTCAGAGAACTTGGGATCCAATTAAGAAGATTAACTCGAAAACCCATCGAACAGGTTTAGCGAACTCGCTAATTTTTGGCAAATTCCACTTCGCGATATATACCATCAAGTTCGGCGAAATGGATTTGAGAAAACTATGGTCATTCTGAGTGTCTCTTTTTTCTAAAAGGCGATCGAGTGCAATCGACTACTGGCACAACTCAAAATTAAATCCGCTGGCATCCTGAGGAAACACCTATATTATTCACAGTAACTACTACCAATTGCTTAAGCAAATTGTATATGCCATACTGCTTTCAATCGCGATTAATCGAAAGTGGAATAAAAGTGTATAATAAAGTGTATTTCCAAAATAGAATGCTACTTGTCCGAAAGCTGAAGAGTGGACGTCTTTTTGGGTGCACAGCCAAGGCTGGTCATTATTTTGACCGCCAACACTGCCACGTGTATTGGTGCTGCTAGAACATGACAGTTTGAGCGCAACCGTAGTTTAGCAAGACCCCCACATTCTATTATCTCGGCAAATCAAAAGCGATCGCCAAGCACTCCTTTTGCGATAGAGGAGCCCCACTTACCGAACACGCGTCATCTTCTTAGCGTGTCTCACTCAATTAATGGGTGTACTCTTTTTGTGTCATCGGTCCTCATCACGAAGCTGACAAACTGCTTTGCCGCACCGGTTTCTGGAAGCAACCAACCAATAGAATATATTTATTTAATTCTTCATATTTTAAGCATATTTACTTATAATTATCTACGATCCTAATTTAGCTTATGTTGGGCGACGAAGCAAATAAGATATATTACCAACTTGGTCATTTCCATGACACTCTTTTGTCTTTATTACACAAACTTTATAAACAGTCAGTACCCTGCAGTACCTGTCATCAGTAATTCATCAGTAATTGATCATTCCATGGTACTGACAACGACTGCCGTCTAGACTACCGCCGTAACTGTATCGTGGGCAGAGCGTCTTAGTAGAAGTCGCAGTCAGCATAGCGTCGACTCGGTAGAAGTCGCAGTCGGCAGAGCGTCGTTTCGGTAGTCGGCGCGGTGATGACAGTGGCCTATTGATGACATGCGGTACTGCAGGGTAGAGCAGTTTTATTTACAATACATTAAAACCAAGATGTTCTCAAAGACATTGACTAACCTAGTGTAAACAATATCAAATGTAGGTAATTAAAAATGTAAGACTGAATATTTGGTTTGTTCAATAAATCTTAGGTTTTGTTAAAATAGGACTGGTAGACAATTGCCAGCGAGGAAGTGGCGAACACCGTAAAGTAACTCCACCAGGTGGTGAATCCCAGAAAGCCCTTGTACACCTCCGTCGAGCATACGTTTTTAAGGCTGCTTGTCATGGGCCAGGTTCAGGAGTGACTGCAGATAAATAAGCATAAGGACAAAGCGGACAAAGATCACCAGCAAGAGCCGAAGTTTCTCGAACACGTCAGGCTTCAATAGCGTCTTTTGCATGCCTTGGAAAACACGCACGGTCAGGTAGTCGCGATTGATCGGACGGATCCAGAGGATGACTAGGATAAACGGCAGCACGAAGCTGAGATTCAGCAGAACTTGCAGCAGTCGGAAGTATTTCAGCGAATCCCAATGCATCTTGGCCATACGAAGTCCTGGAAAGGTGGACAATGATCCAAGCAGGCCGAAACCCATGGTCAGGAAAAATTTGACCACTATTTTAGACCCTGGTCTGGACGATGACAGTCCTTGGTCAGTTAGGAATTTAGAGGCACTGGCATTGAAGCTGACATATGCATCCTCCAGGCCCGTCTCCAGTATACGCTCGTCCACGATCAATACAGTCATGGCGACCAGCAGGTAGACTAAACAGGCCACAATCACCATTGACCGCTCACCGATCGACTCCTCGCTTTGAAAGTAGAGCACCGTGAGCGAGGAAAGCAGCTTCAGGGCAAAGAAAATGACGTGCAGGCACC